CTCTACCTCTCTCTCTCTCTCTCTCTCTCTCTCTCTCTCTCTCTCTCTCTCTCTCTCTCTCTCTCTCATAATATTGAAAAAATTATTATTAAATTATATTAGAAGAAAATTATTTTCTTCCTCAAAATTTTTATAATTGCCATTTATACATTGTCTAATTTATAAAAAAAAAAATTACATTATATTGATAATAATTTTTGAATAAATCTTAGATTTTCATATAGAACATTCTATATAATTGAATACTATTGAAAAATTATTTTTTTATCTAATATATGTACTATTCCATAATATTTATTTGTAAAATCCTTTATCAGTCAAAAAAAATATTTATTTATATCTATCTATTTCAAAATTATTTTTCCATCACTTTATATGGAACATCTCACATATTTAAAATATTATTTTTTTTACATAACATATATCAAAAAAAAATTGATTCGCAAAATCATTGTATCAACTAGGTGTAAAGAATAAAAATATTTATAATTATTTATTTCAATAATTTATTCTTTTTAATGCTCTATACAGTTATCGCTTCTCAAAAGAAAATTTCATCTTTAACCTCGATTCTCGATTGAATAATCAATTTCTGCTTGGAAATCATTCAAAAAATCAAGCCATTCGCGATGACATTCACCGTGAGATTCTCTTTTCCGTGATATGTCAGAAGGAACGAGCAATTTAATCGTTTTTTTCTCCTCTTTCCTCTTATTCAATAGTTATTTTTCCATCTAAAAGATTACATGCGATTACTCCTTTCCGAAGTTAAATCTTATACTTATGCACACATCGATCATTCATTTGCTTGTAATATTATGAACGATGAAATGCATAATAATAATAACAATATATATGTGTACAGCGATGTAATTTCTTAGTATATAACAGATTTAGTAGTAGTAATAGTATAATAACAGATTTAAAATATATCAATATTTTAATATATTAATGTTAATTGATGATATTAGATTGTATAAGTTGGAATTCACAATGTTTCTTATTAAATATGCTATAATATATGAAAATAAAATAATAATTCGATGAGGATATAGTGAGTTTTTAATGTTTTATATTTTACGAATAAATTATTATAACTATATATAATTATTATAATTTTATTTAATATTTCAGATATAAATATTTAGGTACAAAAACTGGAAAACAAGAGACAACAATTAATCTAAGAACTTCAAATAAAAACAATAAAAGTATTTTTCGTTATAACTTTTAAATTATACATAAGAAAATATAAAAAGAATAATTATAATATAAAAATAAATAATATTAAAATTTGATAATATCTATTTGAATAAAATTAATGAATTATATCAATAAACGAAATGATTATTCCATCTAATAATAACGATAAAATTTATCTCTTAAAATTTTGCTTTAAATAATTAGTTATTCTGAATCATTTAAAAAGAAATTTAAGCAATTTGAAAAGAAAAAAGAAGGTAATATTTGTAATTGTTTCAAAAAACATTTGTAATATTTTATGCGGTATATTCACAGGTATCATCGTAATGATTACATCATATGTGATAAATTTGAAAGTATCAAATACGTAATCACAAGATACGCAACATACTATACTTTAAATAATATAATACAATAATTTTCTTTAATGTAATATTCAATGTGTATATTCAATTGTTATAAAAAAAATCATCTGATTGCCCTTGAAAAATTACATCATTATTTTCCCGAATCTATAATATTGTAAAGTTTCTAATTTGTTTAAATATTTACCTAACAATTATTTGCAATATGAACAATTCAGGAATAAAGATTGAAAAATCAATTTCAAAATCAAAGAAAAATTGTTCATTAAACTGATAATTTCCATAAAACCAATGTTTATAATTTTATTTTTCATCAAAGAAAAGTAATTATACGTGAGTAGTAATTATTTTGATTATCATTTTTCTTTGTCATATGAAAAATGATTGAGCTTTCTTATTTATTTAATATATTTATAGAATCATCAATTCTTCAAGTGGAGAAAATTAAAATTTTAATGACATTCAAAAGAATATACATTTTTACATGCGGTTTAAAGCGAAATCATGATGACCTGTAATAGTACTGTTGAATACGAGCAACCCTTTCGCAATCGAAACGTTAGGTTCTCATAATGAGATACACGTTGTAAATCGTCAACGAGAGAGACATTCCTGCATAATCAACAGGAAAAAGTGTAAGACCGTTGACATTTAAGCGATAATCACGTTCAATCAATTACAAATTCATCTTATTTTTATATACAATAGTTTTATATATATATATAGTTATAATCATGAAAATTTTTATTTACATTTGATATTTGATTCCATTTTTTAAAAAAATTTTAATGAAAATCTTATGATTAAATTACGAATATTTATACAAATTCAAATTTTTATGAACAAGATTGTAAAAATAGAGCATAAATAGATATTTGCTTTATTCTTCAAATGTGTCATAATGCGTACTATATTTTAAATATTGTGTATCTTTTTGTATATCTTGTATTAAAATAAATTTTTATACATTCAAATTTTTCATAAATCCATAAACATTTACTTTACTATTCTACGCAATCTATTTATGATCATAACATATATCAATTGCATTTATTATTAATTAGAAAATAATAATAAACAGAAAATCTTAATTTATTAATATATAATCTTAAATTATCTTAATTTTAAAAAAATCATTTTTCAAAATTACATTATTTTAATAACATAATCTATACTGTGTATTATACCTACAATATTTTTTTATATCTTAAAAAAAAACTCAATATTAAATTTCACATTAAATATCTTAATTCTCTTGCACAATTTATTTATTTATAAGTAATTTAAATTTATAACTAAAATTTCAAAAATTATCAACATTAAAAAATCTTCTAGAAACTAACAAGTTTTGCAATTAAATTTTATAAATTAAAAATCAATTGATTATTTTATTTTAGATAAAACTATAAAATTATAGAAACTGCTTACGTAACGAAAGTTTATAACCTAAAATTCATCACTTGCCACTCATATTATTAATTAATAAACTATTCTATCCAAGGATTACATAATTCATGCTAATTCGAATATCTCACTAAAGCATTCTCGCATTAATCTATATGTACTTAATTAACTTACATCTTATATTTAATTTACAGGACCGAAAGAATTCAACTACAGAGGACACAATTACTTCTACAGCGGACATATTCCAGCTCACGCAAATCAAAGGGTAGATTGGTTGGATGCTAGAAACATTTGCAGAGAATATTGTATGGATCTTGTTTCAATGGAAACGCAAGATGAAAATAACTTAATCTTCAGACTCATTCAACAAAGTAAGCGATTTAAATTTTCGAAATATTTTAAAAAAATTTATTGAATTTCTCGACTATTTTATGTAATGAAATTATATAACTTATGAGAATTTTTCAAATGTTTTTTAATAAGAAAATTATCTATAAAAAAAATTTTTATAGATAATTATTTTAACGAAATTCTTGGATATTCACAAGAAATATGAAAAAAATATAAAAAACTATATTTATTTCAAATCATTATCTAACTAATAATCTCTTACATACAGTTGATGCTTAAAATTTACACAAAAGAAAAAAGAAAAAAGAAAAAAAAAAGTTTCAGAATTATTCGAATCTTCAAGTTAAAATTTTTTCTTTCGAAAAAAAAATCAATCTGTGGAACAAAAAATTTTTATCGACCTGTATTTAATTATTCATGAGGAAAAACAAAGCCTTCCTTTTAGTTGAATAATCTTGAGAAGAATAATCACAAGAAGAAGAATGATTCATTAATGTACGATGCACAGGTATGTTTCGCGAACGGTTTGACGCGTGATCACGAAACGCTTTTACCTTCGGTTTCGTGCAGGCTCAATGTATGTCCCGATTGCATCGTAATTAACTCCTCTTCTGGTTCTTTTTTTTTTTTTTTTTTTCATTGTCACTTCTTCACATAATTTTGTAATATTCGTTTCACGCATATTTGCAATATTATTAAGAAATTATTAAGAAAGAGGTTGATATATATAGAAACGAATTTCTCCAAATTCTTTTCATGATGTTTTTATCAATGTTCTATTGAATAATAATTTTGTAATTTTGTATAAAATAAATTTATTAAATAACTTAGAATTTATTAAAAGATTTTTGTTTTATTATTATTATTATGATTATATATTTGTTATTATATATAACAAAATTTATCAATATAGATAATATGAAAATCTTTAAAAAAGTAAATATCGACTTTCTCATGATAATCTAAATCATATTTTTTTAACTTTTTTTTTTTATTGATAAATATAAAATATACTTTTTTTATATATATGTGCAATTTTTGGCTGTATATTATTAACTTTAATTATTTATTTTTAAAAAAATAATTACTATATAACTAAAACATGAATATGTGTATTTATAATATATAAAATTTAGTATATACTAGTATGCATTATATGTGACATAGAAAAATTTTATCCTTATGTGACAAGATAAAAAATAATTTTTAAACAATTAGATTAATAAATTAAAGAAATTAACTTTTTTATATAATTTTATTGTTTAATAAATACTTACTAAATACATTCTGTCATGAAAAGTATCATATTTCATAAAAAATATTTAATAAAATATATATATTTATTTTCTATCATGATGTGAGAAATTTTTATATAAAAAATCTTAGGTCTTTATAATTTATGATAAAAATATTATCATTGAAAAAATATATACTCTTTGAAATATAGCATTGAAGATATTACAAATAATTTCATTGAATGAATAAACAAATAAATTATATTCTAATCATTCAAAGAAAATGAATTTAAATGATAAAATTTTATTAAAAAAAGTAAATATCCTAGATTCATAACCGTTAAATTATCATCTTTCGTATATAAAGAAAATTCTTGAAACTTCTTACATCATTACATGTGTAAAATAACAACAAAAAAAACTTGTATATAATTGTATATGTTACCTTTGCAAAAGATAAAGAAATCGCATTATTATAAATATTTTTTAAACCTAAACAATCCAACAATATCGTATAATATGATTTATTAAATTTTACTAATTTTTTTTTTAAATTTTATTAATCAATATAAAAACAAATTCATTTCATCAATGTCTTAGAACTTAGAACTTAGAAAGTTTTACAGCTGAGATAGAATCAAAGGAACAGGAACACAGAAGCAGGTTCGTGAACAATTTATTACCTGGTGTAACTTTCGTTCTTTAGCCAACTAGATAGTATAGAAATTTCGAAACAAATGATCCATTGCCGACGATGCTTTGACTTCACGTTAAGTGGCTTGTAACATCACGTCTTCAGCTGTAGTATTTCTTCACAACTGAAGAAAGTGAAAGACCAATCAGTAGTTTTGTAGTTGATTATTACGAGAACAATATTGTAGAAATATATTTTAATTGAAATTTCAAAAAACTTTAAAAAACTAAAGTAGAATCAATATTATCACATAAAACTGTTTTATAATTAAATATTATTATCTGTTATAATTATTTTGGAATATATATATATATATATATATATAATATTTGATAATCATCTTAAAAAACTCAATAATTATTAAAATAATGTTACGAAACATAATTATAAATAAAAATTTTTTTATTGAATCAAATATTTAAAAAAAAAGAAATCTAAAATTATTAGAATTATCTATTAAGAACAAATATTGAAATTGAACATGAAAAGATTATACAATTAAAAAGTTTTATAATATTTTAATAAATAAGAAAAGTTATTTTATGCACATATATCTATATAAATTTACCTGTAATTTTGATTTGCGAACAACAATTGCTTTTGCAAGTAGAGATACAATTTTCATTCGTTGTTGAGAAATTAGAATCTTCACATTAGCAAACTAACAACAGAATCTTCAAGGCGAAACGAAGGATCTTTTAAGTGGGTTGAGGCTGAAGAATCTCATCTTTTTATATACATACACAGTTGCATCACGGAACGCATTAATCATTTCTAGCATACGTATATGAATATGTATTACCACAGAATAATATAATCTGAAAATTGTTTGACATTTCTACAAAATAAAAATATACTTTCTTTTTTTGAAAGTTTCAAGATTCTCTATTACATAATAGAAATATAAATTTTATATTAAATACTTTTTTCATATTGAAAATTCATTTTTGAATATTTTAATAATAAATTTTCATAAAATTATTAAAAGAAAAGAGATAAATTTTCATTAAATCGAAAATGATAAAATAATGCAAATAAAAAATTTCATATATCATTTTATACTTTTATATAAAAAATAAGAAATTTATATAATATATATTTTTTACAATTTTAAATCAATCTATATCAAAAAATTATTATTTATTAAAATTAAAATTATTATACACACAATTATATAAACATATTAATTATAATTAACATATATAAATATATTATTTACTTATTAAAATTATTATACAAACAAACATTTTATAATATAAAATTTTTATTTTTCTAATGTGTTTACTATAATAAAAACTTATTTGTATAATTTTTAAATATTTATTATATTTTTATTAAACTAACATTATTTTATTACTTATTTATTTTATACATATATATAAATTATATAAATATACATTATATAGTATATAAATTATTAAAAATTATAACTTGTATTATATTGTATAAATTATTTTCTGCTTATCACAGATGATGTTCCTTATATTTGGACTTCCGGACGTCTTTGCGATTTCAAAGGTTGTGAAAATCGTCGTGACCTCGAACCTAAAGCTCTTTACGGATGGTTCTGGTCGGCCAATAGAAAGAAAATGTCACCAACAAATCAAATCCCTGAAGGTTGGTCCTTCAATCCATGGTCTCAAACTGGTCACAAGAAAGTTAGACAACCTGATAATGCTGAATTTGATATAAATGGCACCAGCGAGTCTTGCATGTCTGTTCTTAACAATGTTTATAAGGATGGAATCAGTTGGCATGATGTGGCTTGTTATCACCAGAAACCATTTGTTTGTGAAGATTCCGAAGAACTTTTGAATTATGTGGCCAGCACCAATCCCAACATTCGCCTTTAAAGGCCTCGTAAATAAATAATCTACGTCATTAGCACCTGTTTTACCCGTTTCTCTTGCAGTTTAGACGAGACACGAATTAAAAACAGACAGAAAACAAAAGATGACCATCAAATATTTTTTAATTAAATTAATTGCCTATTTAATTTTAAAATAGTCTCTGTCATATTAATTCACATATGTTTAAAAGTTTAAATTGAATTTTAAATATTTAGATTTTTTATTTTATTAAATGTAAAATATGTATGACAAAATAATAATAAAAATGATTAATTATACATATAGTTATTAAAATACACAATACTTACAATATACAAAAGAAATAAGTTGCTTTACTGATGTAAAGACAATATTTATTGTTTATATAAAATTAATGATTTAAATTACAAAATTTTTATAAACTAAAATATGAAAAACTACAATCATAATTTTTCAAAAGCATTTAATTATTTTTTTATTATAATACAAATGTTACAATTATTATACATACATGTTATACATGTATTAAAAATATTTGTTGAGCAATCATAAATAGCATTGGAATGTGTCTCGTCGCTGTATTCTTCCTGCACTCATTTTTCAAAGAAATTCAATAATCTTTTACATTATATTCAATTCGTAATTATGCTATCAATCAATAATAATGTAAAGATATTTATTAATAGATATTTGGCAGACAGACTCTGTACATTTATGAATAAACTTTAATTGTAGGTATTTAAAAAATCCACTTATTTACCAAATCTTATAGATAATGCGTATGAATTGAATGTTGCTAGAATTTGTTATATATATTAACTCATTTTACTTATAATTTATATAATTTATTCATTTTCTATTACAGTATTGGATTCAATAGTAGTAGATTCAAGTTGATCATATTTTTCTTCATTTTCTTCTTCACTAGAGACAGAATTATTTTGTCTCTTTCTTTTTTTAGTTTTTAACTTATTACGTTTTAATTTCATTTTATATTTACGCTTTCGAGGTAAAGATGTAGGATCTGCAAATAAAATATTTCATTAAAAAATAATATATATAGTATATGTAATTTTTTAATAATTGTTTTCTTTATGCAGTAGTCTTTTTTTATTTTGATATTTTTTTTACAATAGTTATAATTATAAATATATGATAAATTAAATAATAAATTGTCTATTTTAATTCTAAAAATTAAAATATTGATATTCTTTTATTTTGATATTCTTTTTACAATAGTTATAATTATAAATATATGATAAATTAAAAAATAAATTGTCTATTTTAATTCTAAAAATTGACATTTATTTTTTTCATGTATAATTCAATACATAAAAAAAATAGATTATTTAAAAAAAAGATTAATTTTTGATATAATAATAAAATAAAAAACATTTTACATTAAAATATGATTAAGATATTAATACATACGATCGTCAGGAATATTCATTTGTTTTCTCAAAACAATTCGAACTTGTTTATTAATAATTTCTCTACATTGTACATCAAAACCACTTGGTAGCCAGCCTCTTTTTTCATCGCATTTGGTACCAGGTAAAGGATCAGGTAATTTTGCTAACATTTCTTGTATCTCATCCACAAGAACATCACAATACTATAAAAAAAATCTCTAATTTAAAATATAAAATGTACAAATAATTCACAAAAATAATAAAATTATAATAAACCTGATAAAACATTTGTCTTGAAGGAGGTATTGTTCCTTCTCGATAAATATACACATTTTCATGTAAATCCTGTTCTTTTTTAGAATTTTGTTCTTGACTTGGAGTTGTGTTTTGCACAATTGTTTTTTGTTTTGAAACTGGTGTTGATTTATATGGTAATGTATATTCTGAATAATTTCTTTTACATTTAACAGTTGATGTCAAACCATCTAAATAAAGTGAACAACAAAGTAATTAAAGTTATCATATTACTAATAGTAATATTTGAAAAACTTACGCATAGCTCTCACTCTATAATCTAAAATTTGATATATTCTCGCAGAAATGTCATTTCTTGGATCATATCCCAATTTTACCCATAGAATTTTCCATGGACCATTTACAAAGTAATATGACACTGCAGGCAATAAAATTTTTAATTGTTGAGAAGAAAATTTAGTTTTATACATAATTGCATTCTTTGACCAAATTGGTCGTTCCTCAAAAATTTGACGTATCTGTTCAAAATGTACATTTTGAATAAATTTGACTTTCATGGCAGTTTCTATGCCTGTTGGTGGTTTAGAAGGAACTTCTTGTGTTGAAAAATCAACAAAATTCAAAAATCCCGCTCGTCTTTTTCTAGTTTTTTCTGGAGATGAATTTACTTCAGTTTTTGGTATATATTGTTGTACTGTGTCCATTCTGCTGAATGCAGCTGGTGGTAAGAAGTAAGGCACATCATTCTTTAACCAAGAATAATGTGGCATATTACTGGGATAAATTTTGTCATATATACATTCTAATTTTTTTGGATCTTCCTTGCTTTGAGTTATAGGTAAATATTGAAAATCACAAAGATCTGAAAAATATTATATTATATAGAAAATATTCAGAATATATAAATATTATATTAATATATATTCTTAAATACATTATGAAAATATTTCAATAAATTAAATTCATTCTTAAATGTAATACTGTTATATAATATATTATATAATACTTACTCGTAAATTTAAATTCTGTTTCAACTCGACCTAAAATTTGTAATTTTGGGAGTTCATAATCTTTATCTTCTGAAAGATCTTCATATTTATTACGATCAAATGTTGGTGATATATTTTTTTTACATTTTGATAAATTTATATCATTTGTATCTAAAGATAGATCTTCTAATTCTTTAATATTTTCACAATATAAATTCTCATGGGAAGGACCAGGTACAGCATCATCTAATATATTAAAGCTGCAATTTTGTACTTGATCAATTAATTTAGTCATAACTTGATCTTGTTGATCTTTATTATTGCATTGAAATGCATTTTGAGTTTCTGATAAGTTCATTTTATCTACATTATTTTCAGTACTTTTATTATCATCAATCATAGAATTATTTGTTGATTGTTTCTTTGTTTGTTTGGCTTCATCTTCTTCTAATTTTTTTATTCTAGATTTTTTAATTCTAACTCTAAGCAAGAAACCATTAGTTTTATGTCTGTCAGCACAAGTTGGCTTACAATAAATATCATCTGGTCTAAATCTTAATTCTAAACGTCGATTTGGAGTATTCACTGCCTAAAATATATGTATATACATATAATGAATTAAATAATTAACAATTATAATATATAAGTATTATATACAAATAATAATAATTATAATTATATTACAAATGTTAAAAATTGAATAAAAATGTTATTTTACAATCTTCTATAAGGAAATAACATACCGTTGATATACTTTGAAGGCCACCTAAAGTTTCTATAGCTCTGTCTGGATTAATAACATTTCCAGGATATTTAACACAAATAAACTTTTTATCAAATCTATGGCCTCCAGGAAGTATTGGTCCCACATACTCATTTTCAGGATGATTATCTTCTTTATCTTGATTTTTTTCTGCCTATATGAAATTTATAATGAATTAAATCTTCTTTATTCTTACAAAATATAATGTTTAAGTTATTTAAAAATAAATCTTATTAATAAAAGAAGAAATATATTAATAATAAAAGAATTAAACATAAAATATTAATTTAATTTTACATTTTCATCGTTATTTCTTTCTGAAATATCACAATAGGAATCATCGCTATCAATTTTTTTTTCATAATTATCGATCTTAAAATCTTCATCTTTTTCATTTTGTATTTCAAAATTTTCGTCATTAGTATCACTTGATGTACTCATGTTACTTTTTTATATCGAATTTTTTAAGTTAAAAATATATGTGTATATCTTTTTAAAAGATAAATTTTCATTAATAATAAATCAGTACCACAGATACCATGGTAATGACAATATCATAATGACATTAACATAGATTGATGTATCTATGTAAACTATTAAATTATTTTATATTTTATTATAAAATAAAATTGTATTTTCATTTATCTTTTTTTGGCATATTTTTTGAGTTTAATAAACTCATATTATACTTGTTTATATTTAAATATTAATAATTATATATTGAAAAATTATTACATTTTAAACATTTTATATTTTATAAAATAATAACGCACAATCTAGTGAATATCACGTTCACACTTCTTTCTTTATTTTTGAGGTTAGATTCACAATGAACTTGATCATTTTAGGTTAGATATATATCACGTGGATTATTTGAATTCTCTAACTATAGATTTTAGAAATTTTAGAAATTTTAATTTTGAAAAAAAGAAATTTTTTTTAATTTTCTTTTACACAAGATTGTATAATATGTAAAAAATATATATTTTTTTAAATATTATTTAAAAAATGACATTTTATAAATAATTGTACATATTTATATAATATAAATTTTCAATTTGTAAAATTAAATATATGTCAACAATAAAGTTAAAATTAAAAAGCATTTTTATAATTTTAATATATATATATATATATATCATATCTTATCATCACATCTATCATCTATTATCTTTTTAATGGATTTTAAAAATAAATTTTAAATTTAAAATAAAATATAATTTAATATTCATTACAATTATTAATAAAATTATTTATATTAAGAAATGATTTTCTTATTATTAAAGAAAAAAAAGAATATATATATTACATACAATAAAATATCAATATAGATATAATAAAATGTATCGAACTAATATAAAATATATAAATAAATAAAGAAAATAAAAGAAAAAATAATAATACAATATAATAATATATAAGAAACAAATAATAATAAATAATAATTTATTTGATAATCTTAAATTTGTTGTAAGATTATAAATAATATATGAAAATAATAAATAAGTTATTTCACAATATATTAGATTAATACCTCAACCCTTGTATTTTTAAACAATATTATGCAAAATATATGCTTTCTTCATTAACAGTAAATTTATTTGAAAATAAAACAATAACAATATATTTATACAATTGCTATCACAATTGTTTCTATTTCATTAGAATAAATAAAATATAAATATTCAAAATTAATATTCTAAC